TGTCAAACAAATATACATAAAAAAAAAAATATATATATATATGTATATTTTATCTATATTTGTTATATTTTATGTAAATATATGTATATATATACATTTATTGGCTGTAGAGCCACCACGATGTCTTGAGTCAATTGCAAAAAATTAATTTTTCGATCTCGTACGTATATCTCTACGTTTCGAATAGAGGTTTGCTCGGCGATACCTTCGGGTTTCGATAGAAAAAATACGCGAAAGCGAGAGGTAACAATCGGTGGCGCAAAGTAGCGAACAAAGTAATTTTTTAAAATAAAATAATAGTTTTCACTCGATTGCAGCATAACAGATAAACAGAATAATTATTGAGTAAAATTAATTAAAAATTTCTTTTTTATATAATTATAGAGTTAAATGAATATATTACGAAAATAATATCTTCGATCTCAAAGCATTGGATTCAAAATATTATATGCATAATATTTTCCAAGTATATTTAATTTTTTGTCAAAAAAATACATTTCAAGCAAGAAAGAGTTTAATCCTTTCGTTTGTATTTATTGATTTGCACGATTCACTCGAACGGATTGTCGATACGAAAAGTTAATAAGTCAGAATAATGTTTGCCACACGCGGGGGATTAATAGCTCGAGTTTCTACTATTCTTCAAAGACCTTTCTATTCATTCGAATCCGAGCTAGGAGAAATTCTCGCGTATCACGAACGGGCTATTCTTTCTACCGATGATCATCAATTTTTAAGCACAGCCACCAAAGACTGCTCTTTAATTTTTTTCCTTTCTTTCTGTTTGATCAAATCGTTTACAGAAGCGTCGAACGGGTCGACGGATGTCAACGGCGGAATGACACTGTGGTTTTCGACACAGTTGACATAGTTGTTGCATGGTTGGTTTTGAACGGAACTCTTCGTGTACACGTGTACGAGCTACTGCTCGGGCAGCAGGAGCGATGTACCCTCTCGTCGAGGATATCTTCCCGGACTAGCACACGTGTCCTGAAGTGCTCAAACACTCCACTTTACGGAAGAAGCAATGAGTCTCCCGAAAAAGAAGGGTGTTAAAAAGTCAATTTTTGTTCTCAAGTGCAAAGTGAATAGACGTTAAAAAATTATTGTTTGGATCCTCAGGTAAGAGAAAATGACAATTATTTGACCGAGGAATGGCGGCAACATTGCTGGAATTGCTTAAATGTAGAAAAAAATAATACATATAAACGGTTATTAATTGGAAAACAATAATTCTAGTCAGAATTGTGAGTATATTTTGCATGTAAAGATCATGAAACTTTAGCATTATCCAGAATGCACTACGTGAAGGTGTAGTCTGTCTAGCATCTCTTGGCAGAGATCAAGAGCCCACAATTCGTCACTCCTGCGTTATTTAAAGTCTCAAAATCCACTCTGCCATATGTGCTGTGTGTATGTATATGTATGTAAGGTTACGAATATTTGTATTCGCATTTGCATTCGCGAATATGCTCTGATTTCAAAGTATTCGTATTCGTATTCGAAGAAAATATGCGAATGTATTGCGAATATTACTTATGTAAAAGTTGGCCTTTTTAGACTACTTTAGAGGAAATAAATAACGATAATAATACGCTTTAAACCTTCCTTGGTTACCAAGAAACTTATGTTCCAAAGCTGATATAAAATTATACTGTGGTTATTGAGAATAAGCGTTACAACCGATCCGAGCTCGGTGAAACGCATACTCCCTTTCTTTTCGCCAATCTTCGGTTGGCAGCAGTCGGGAGAAAAATATATAAAATGTAAAAAAACTAGACAATTTAATAATTTAAATTTGAATGCCTAGAATGCAATCGAGCCTTGAGTAAGATACTACTTCGGGGATTTACTGATATTGAATACATCCCATAATTAATATGTACAGATTCTTTTGTGATTTAAAATTCAAAATCATTTACACGCGCACGTACATATACACACATATACACACACAACACATATGGCAAAGAGGGTTTTGAGTCTCTAAATACTTCAGGAATGACGAACTGTGGGCTCCTGATCTCTGCCAAGGGATGCTAGGCGGATTATACCTTCACGTGGTGCATTCTGGATAATGCTAAAGTAGTCCGTGATTTTTATCATGCAAAATGTACTCACAATTCTGACTAGAATCATGGTTTTTTAATTATTAACCGTTTATATATGTAGATACTTTTATTACTTTTTACTATACATTTAAGCCATTCTAGCAATGTTCCCACCTTTCCTCGGACAAATAATTATCTTTTTCTCTTACCTGAGAATCCAAACAATGATTTTTCAACGTCTATTCAGTTTGCACTTACGGGCAAAAATCGACATTTTTTTAACATCCTCCTTTGTACACCAAATCTCGCGTCCTTCTCTCGACACGTCTTCAGTCACTTTACATTAATATATTAAAATTGTGTTTGCCTATGTGTGCGTAGAAGTTTTGTATACCGTGTCAAAATTTAACTCCAAACATCTATCGTGAATCTTTTTGGAAGCGAATAATCAGAAGTTAAAAAAGAGCAAGTATTATTCGAAAATATATCGCGAATTTGAGAATATTAAATACATTAATAATAATAATAAAATCAATAATAATAATAATAATAATGCTAAAATAACGATAAAAACGCGCAAAGCGTCCGCGAACAGAAGACCACTTACTTGTGTAGTATCGAGACCATTTTGATTCTGCCGCCTTCTAACCCTTTGCAGATCTGAAGATCGCCGCACCGGACAGGTGGGCGCCCTGAAGGCTTCCGCCTCTGGCGTCGACTGCTGTGTTCACTGCCAGGGTGGCTCTGTCGTTGTTTTCCGTATGTGTACCTAAATCCGCCGCTTCTCCACGATCGCCATCGCGTGCTGGTCCTGTGCCCGCGGACACGTTTCCACCTGACACCTTACAGAAAAAATATACATTAACTCTCGACCCATAGAAAAAATTAAATAAAATTTTATTTTGCACGTATGACAAATATTTTAACAACTTTCAAGGATAGAAGCATTGTTTAAAGATCGTCTGAGAGTGTTTTCTTGTCCAAGTTAAATTTGACAATATTTGCATAGATATTTGTGTACTTACACTCGCGAAAATAGTTAAAGTTTGAATTTACTGAGACACCTTATATCATTGTCGTATGATTTATAAGAGATATAAATATATTGTAGATAAAATATAATAAAATTATCAGAGTATCAAAGCAACAGTTTATGTACACTGAAAAAGGTTTGTTAAATTAACAAATTTTTAGTTCAATACGTTCAAATGAATCATTTATTTGAAATAAATAAATATTTATTTGTTTTGAAAAGGATTTTCTTATATATCAAATAAATATTTTTATATCACATCAATATTTATTTGTTTCAAATAAATGATTTATTTAAATGTATTGAAATAAATATTTGTAATATAATTTAAAATTATAATTATAATTATAATTTAACAAACTTTTTTTCGCTAGCCTATATAAGAATGAATAAATGAATTTACGATCTAATTTAAATTATATCTCTATAGAGAATTTGTTCAAAAATAAAAAAATTATCTTTTTCTTGCGAAAAGTTTGTGAAATATTGTCACCGTGTATAAATTAAATCGAAGAAATTAAATGGTAAATTCGCTTATTATTTTAATCCTATCTGCAATCGTACATATAATTATTCTTTCTTTGTAAGTTATTATATATCATCGGCATATGTGTTAATAAAATTTGGTCAGACGCTTTGACGTGTTTCATGACATCGCGATATGCTGCCTTGTATTTGTATGACATATAATACTTTTTTATTTTGTAATTGTAAGTAACTCTGAGATAATTGCGATTAATTTATTGGTCTGTTATAAAGCCTCGTCTTATTAGATATAACTCTATCTCGACAAAAATGACAAAATCGCTCGCACTTTCGTTTTTAAAATCAACTTTTCAATCCATCATCCAACTAATGTATTGTCTATTAAAGTTGTCACGTCGCGCAACAAGATTATTTAATTATTTCGATAATGATCATCCGAGGGATCGCACACATCAATCTTTCAGGTTGATTATAAATTCGATTCAGGTCACTTCGCCAAAGCGTTCTTACACATCAGAATCTTATATACCATATATACTTAGCAATACATTTTCATTCAATAATAATCTCTTGGAGTTATACAGCCTGCGAGTCTAAAAAAATCGGATCCAGATTCATTAAATATCATATTTTTTTACTAATTTGAGATTCTTTATTATCGCCAGTCAAAAATTAAAGGAATAATTATTTTTTAACCAATACTGGCACCTTCTTTATTAAATAAGTCTCACATGGCGAGATAAATTTAAATAAACACATTAAATAGATCTCACATGTAAGATTTATTTACAAAAATTTGCTACTGTTGAGAAATAATTATTCCTTATACTTTTTCTCTCCGTAAGCTATTCATTTAAAGCTACGTTGTAAAAAAAAAAACGATATTTAATAGATCCTCTAGATTTTTTAAGGGTAAAAGACACTGCACATGTTATCCTCATTTGGTTCAACGAGACTTGAACAGCTTCACGGCGACTAACTAAGCCAGGTAAGTCCTCGGGCTGGCTTTGGAGACTCCGGCGTCGCTCTTGGAGCAGGAGGACCAGGCCTCCTCCGCCAGATCGCCGTATCTTTGCATCCCCGGGAAAAGCGGGCCGGAATAGTTGGAGTGCGGTTGGTACTGCTGGTAGAGCTGCTGTTAGTTAATTATGGCAACAAAATAATTTCGCATATAAATCAAAGAAACATATAAAATAGTATTACATTTTTGCATTTCTTAGAACATACAATTACCTAATTAAATTATTGAGTGCTTTTTCAGAAAAATTATTTCAAATATAAAAGTATCTCTTAGGAATAATTTATATCCATGTATCGATTATTATCAATTAAATGTACGAATAAGACGCGTGTTCTGTGGAGCTATTTACATGACATTACATATTTCATATGTTATCATACAACGAACACCTTCAGTTCTCGAGGATCATTTGAAGAGGTAAGGTCACGAGTGAACGATATACTTTTGATTAAAGTAACGACTGATTCCACGAATAAGGTGAGTTAAATACATAATATTTAGACATTTCTTTCGAAATATATGCATATAAAAATATGCGTTTGCAGAGTTTTTATTTTTTAAAAATTATTTTATTCAGTTTTGAGAGTTATTTTATTCAGTTTTTAAGAAAACATTAAGAAAATCTTCAATCCCTCTTCTTTTTACTTCTACATTATTTTCGTCTTTGCATCTTTAATCCCTTTTTCTTTTACACCTACATTATTTTCGTCTTTGCAATTGCCGTAAAAAATTTAGAAGTAAATTATAACAGCAACCTCTTCTTATTATTTTTGACATATAACAAATTAAAAATTGAAAACAACTTGTATAAGCTTTATTTGATTCATTTTTTCCTTAATGGACTTTTAAAATCGATATTTTCGTTTTGTTAAATTAAATATTTAACAAATGTAAAAAAAGGAACGCAATAAATGTTAATTTTGCATACGATATGTATATAACAATAAATGCTAATAAAATTATTTTGTTTTTTCTAAAAAAGTGTTTCTATAATGATAAATGATAATAAATATTTTTTTTTCTAAAGTTCAGATTAATTTGTCATAAAACAACATAATGACAAAATTTGAATTGAGTTTAATTTCGCAACAGCAAAATTCTTTGTTATCCGTTTTTTGGATCTAAACATAATTTACTAGTGACATATAATTCTGATGACAAATCATATTGATAAACAGCTGAAAATACAACGGTTAAAATTTAGTTATTGAAGATGAGATATTATTTTATACATTTTTGTGCAAAACTCATTTATTATATTTTTCCGATTATGACATTTATAAAAAAATATTATGCTACCTCTCTTAATCGAGTTGTTCTACACAATATTATAAAATATAAGTCACAGAGAAATGTAATTAAATGATTATAAGAAGACAAAAGTTCATAACCGTATTACTGTTTTTGAAAAAATAAGCTTAAAAAATAAGATATTTTAATTAAAAAAATAGAAATACGAATAACATAGCTTATATACTATAACATTATACACAACTCTTTTTTTATACTGTAAATTATTTAATATTAAATAATACAATATACATTTATTATATTACATTAGTATTTACAATGGTTATTTCAATTTATCATTTATAATTTAAATAACATTATATATAGTATATTTTTTATACTTAATAATTCTATTTACTTAAAAATGATTTATGTTTTACAATATACATTATAAAAAATCAGGCATTTGTCTATATAATATTGGAATTTAAAAAATTTGATCGTCAAATCGAACATTATGCAATATTATTAGAATTGATCAAAAAAATTGTTTAATAAAATTAACATACATTGCGTAGTCAAAGTAGATAAACTATAAAAATTCTTCGTAAAATTGTTAGACTATATGCAATTATAAAACGGTGTATTTCTTTTGCATTTTTTCCATGTTCTTACTTATATGTTTCTTACTTATGTTTTTTGATTAATTCTCTTATTATTAGCAAAAAAATTTAATTTGTAGTTGATTATTATTATTAATACTTATAAATACGCATTATTTAAATATTTGAAAGGCTTTTTTGTTTTTATTTTTTCTTATTTTTTTTATTTTAGTTTTTTATAATTCTTATTTCATAAATATTTCGTTTTGTTTTTTTGTTAAGAATTTTAATTTTTAATATTTCAATTTTTTATTTTTTAGTATTCTTATTATTGTTTTAGTATTCTTAGTATATTTTAATATTTTTATTATTGCTTTATATTTTTATATTGGTTTTTAATTTTTTTTTAGTTTTCTTGCAATTTTATTTTTTGACTTTTTGGGTTTTTATTTTTGTTTCATTGTTTTTTTATATTCCCATAGGAGTCGCGACGTTATGCATATTTTCTTTCCTCGTTCCTTATTTATGTTTTTTTCTTCAGTTATTCTTACTACTAGCAAAGAAATTATTTTATAAGTATCAAAATTAAAAGGCCAACTTAACGAGCTAATTGATTAGGTGTTAAAAATTTTTTTATTCTACGTCATGAAAATAATACAAATGATAATTAGTAAACGTTTCAACTATAAGACAGTCTTTATCAATACAAATATCGCTTTGCTAACATATCAATAAATTAAATAATTTGGAAAGACAGAACTTATCATATATGTAAAATATATAGACTTATGAAAAAACGCAGTATAACATATCATACTTGTTGGCTTGAATTACGGCTGATCGTTCGAATTAGTCGTTAAAGAGCCTAATCTCGAACATCAGATTTCTGTAGTTCTTTTTGAATAAAAGTCTAATTTTGTAATCTCTGATGTAATAATATGTAATAAGCTGTAAAATAATTAATATGTTAGCCTGAATATTAAATATTAGATTTTTAAATAAATAGTGATCACTTACATCCATGTCGAGACGATAAAACTTCTTTAAAATATTTCTTATTAAAAAACATTATAAACAATGTGTACTTTATACGAAGCAAACTCAATATCTATAAATCACAATGTCAGAACGCTGTATATACACCGCTATGCTAAGATGACATAGACAATTTTTCTAAAATATCAAAATAAGAACCGTCAAGCCGCTCGATGTCCTTTTTTAAGTTGATACTGTTTTTTTCTTCTTTAATGTATATCATTTTTGATATCAACCTTTTATAATAATTCCTTTCGTGATCCAAGATTTTTGTGTTGTTCCAATTAAAAGTATGTGTAAACTTTACAATATGATCAGAAACCACCGAGTGTCTTGCAGAATCTAATCTGATATTATTTTTATGTTCATTTACTCTTGTGCCTAATTGTTTTTTAATTTGCCCTACATATGTAGCATCACAATTATTGCACGATATTTTATATATGACACCCGAATTATTCTGACAATTATCTTTGTCTGTTTGTGTTTTTATGACTCTATTTAAATTTTTCAAACATCTGTATCCTACTGTTATATTAGATTTCTTTAACTCTGATGCTACTAATTCCGAGATTTTTTCAATGTATGGTATCGCTATAAATTTTTTATTGTTGTCAATATGTATGTCAAAAATTATTTTATATTTTCAGATTTTTAAAAGCCAACATGATGTTTCTAAAATGGTCATTAAATATATTAGTATACATTACTGCAATAACCATGGCTACTTTTACCAATGAAAACGCAAAAATTAAGTGCCATAGCGTACCTAATTACCGTAATTCATTGAACAACAACTGTATAATGCCGATTCATTACAATCTGGACATGATAATGTTACCAGGAAAATTACTAAGTGGCGAGCTAAATGTCACTTTTTATATTAATTGTGAAATATCAAATATAACTCTACATACTACAAGATCCTTGCTTATAGTGATGTTTAGATCGCCTAATGGAACAATCTATATTCCAAATTCTGATTATTCGGAGAATTTTGCTACTTTCAATTTCATTAAATATTTATCGCCTGAAAATACACACATAGATTGTGGAGTTTATACAATGTACGTGAAATATGAAATCATATTTGTTCATCGGCATTATGGAATGTACTATATAAAAAGAGAAGATAGAAGAGATAAAGAGTAAGTATATTAAAATAATAAAAGTAGTATATAATAAATAATACATGAGTAAACATGAAATAATAAAAATACGCTAATATTTATATACACATATATGATATATTGTACAATGTTGTAGTATACTTAGATGATTTTAAAATTATCTAGATAAAAATGAGATAAAAATTAGATAAGATGAATGTTATTTTGAATTTATATATATTTAGATAAAAGATAAAGTTATATTGTGAATCATTTAGATAACATTATTTTTAAAATCGCTTATGTAAATAGTTATACAGCTTATAAAAACAATGTAAATTATAAAAGAGGTATATAAAATATATTCATTTTTTTATTTGTACGTTTCTGTGGCTCACTGCTTAAATTTTACTACTAGATGAGTATATATATGTATGTGCGTATGCGTGTGCGTGAGCGTGTGCGTGCGTGTGTGTGTGTGTGTGTGTTAGGACTTTAAATCAAATTATCTGAACATTATTCTAGATATAATTAAATAGGGATAACATTATTTTCAACTAAGGTGCATAGATATAGATAATATATATTTTTATTAGTTATATGAAAGTAAGCTGACATCAAAATTTCATCTAGATCATTTGTATTATTATACTTACAATTAGAAAAGAAAACATTTGATGATATATTTTTTAAATATTATCTATAAATTTCTCTGGTACATTCTGCAATCTTTAACGTTCCTACACAACAACTGCAGAAACTTGTTGTTATTATAATTTAAAGCTTTTTACTTAAAAATTTAGGTTTCTATTCGCAACTTTACTTCAACCGAGAAATGCTCGACAATTATTTCCGTGTTGGGACGACCCAAAATTAAAAGCAACTTTTAACATCACCGTCAAATTCGATACGGGATACAATGCTAAATCGAATACGATACCAATAAAAGTCGAAGTTTTGTATAACAGGATGATACGTTTACTGTTCCACATGACACCTAAAATTTCTGTAAACGATGTCACGATTATAATGTTTGATTTGCAATCAGATTATATTTCCAAGATAAACAATATCTCTTTTTGGAGCAAATGGGATTTGATACCTTACATGAAATGGGCGCAATATGTTGCTGGAAATGTAAGCATGTATTTAGAAAACAATTGGAGGATTATTTCGAGAAGCGAGCCAAAAATGGATTATGTAGTTTTTCCGATAGATTTGACCGAGTATAAAAAGCGGAATTGTGGAGTGATTTTATTCAGGTAATACATTATTTAAATAAAAATAATTTTAATTATAGTTTAATAAAGTTGAAATATTTTTTTAGCTTTGTAAAGATTTATTATAATTCCAAAGCATAAATTTGTCTACACTAATTTTTTGAATTTTGGCTTACTTAATCAGATATACATATATGTAACAGAGTAGTAATTATTCAGTAACGTTAATACGCTACTGAATAATCACTATTATATTATACCTTACAGAAAAAAATGGTACAGGACTTTTCGACTCAGTTTTCTACGAGGAATATCGCCATATAAATATTGGGTGCCAATTAAGTGACACCCTGTATACATATATGTATATATATGACCGCATATTTATGAGTTTATTTAGTCTGAATTTTAAATTTTAAATATATATATATATATATATATATGTATAACATATATTGATATCTAAAGTAATTTAGATAAGTTATTTCAATAAATCATCGTAACCAGTTAAATGTTATAGTTAAATTACAGAAGGACTTAGATATATCACGTAATAGTCATTTGATATATAGACATTTAATATTTAATAATACTTTTGTGTATCATTAAAAATTTAAATTATTAATTGGAAATTTTATATATATATATATATATATATATGTATATAATATTACAAATATATGTTAATATTATAAATACAATAATAACAATCTAATAATATAATTATATAATATAATAATAATAATAATAATAATAATAATAATAATAATAATAATATAAAATAATATTATTTACTTTTAAAATGATTTGATATAAATCATTTATTTACCAACAATTTTCAGCAAAACAAATATTATCTACAATGAAGAATTTTATCCTGTTGCATTTAAAACTTTAGCAATGCGTTCAGTAGCTCATAATATATTACATTATTGGTTTAATAATTTCTTCTATTCGTTATGTCGATTTTCTTGGTGGTTGAACAAAGGCTTCGTTATGTTCCTTGAATCATATATCATCGATAAGGTTGTTTCATATTTATTAAGCTAATTATAGAAAAAATCTATTATTTAAATTTTAATATAAACTTTTAAAAAAATATATTAAGTGTAGTTAATAAGTATATGTAAGTTATGTTATTATAATTTAAATAAATTTTGCACACAAACACATAAATAAATATTTTGAATACAGTACCCTCCACAAGTTTGGAAACACCTTACATTTTACAGTTAAACAATCGTATGACAGCGATCTGTGCAGATTTTTTGTATGAATAAATTGTAAAAAAACATAAAATATTTAAGTTAAGAGTTTAACAAGGCTCTGTCATATAAATATAAATTTAAAGTATAAGACAGGCGATAAGAGCCGATCGCGGAAGACAGTGCGTTATCCCAACAAAACTAAATTTTTCGTTAGGATTAAATATTTGTGCACAAGGCACCAAATTTTACTTGGTCACTGCCAAGATTTTAAAATATGAAATAATCTCATATTTGAGATTTAATTTCAATAATCCTTTAACCCCCCTACGGAAATACGTAAATATTTAAATAACATTTTTATTTATGACAAATCGCTGTCATAAAATTGTTTAACTGTAAAATGTAAGATGTTTACAAACTTGTGGAGGGTATATGTACTGTAATATTTGTAATAATATTTTTACTTCAAATTATTACATATTACTCATGAAAATTCTATAAAATTATTTAAAATTATAATATCTAATATAAAAATGTTTTAAATAATTCAAAAGCATTTATTAAAAACAAAAGGTTTTTCTAGAAATAACAAATAATTGTTCACATTAATAAACATTATTAATCGAATCTCGTTTTTCTTTCTGCAGATATATCCAGGTTCTCGGATGATGGACTTGTTTGTAGTTCAAATTCGATATGATTCTCATTATTTACATCCATTTGCTGTAGATTATTTTAAGGAAAATTCTAACTATATATTTAAAATTAATTCACCTTCTCCTTTTTCTCATACTGTAGGTATGTTGGTATGTGTATTTGATTTATGTAACGTAATTTGACTGGTATAAAGTATATTTACAAATACATTAATAAAATTTGTAAATAATTTGTAAACAATAGTTGGAATGGCTGACTATAAATATCTAAGAAAAGATAAAAAGTTTTAAATTTACAATTATTTCTTCTTATTTTTATTCTGCTAAAAATAAAAGCAAATTAAATTTAAAATTAGTTCTTTTTTTTATTATATTAGTTTATAGTAGTTCTGTTTATGAATTTATGAATATGATGGGGGTTGAATTTGTAAATAAAATGTGTATATATAAATATTTTTTTTAACATATTTCATATCTTTATTATAGGAGCAGCTTTTTGGCGCATGTTAGAAAGAATAATTCCATCTATCGTATTTTGGACGAGTATTGACGAATATTTAAACAGGAAGTAAGTAATACTTACTATGTAATATAATAATATTAGTTTACAAAAAATATTTTTCTTTTATTATTCTCATTTAGATGGTGTTTCTTTCAAATTTTCGAAAATCTTATAAAGTTATGGAAACGATTTTATGCTGAAAACGATGACGTAAACGAATTTTTACCAGTACGTCAGGTTTCCGAAATAATTGAGATTTAATATACAAAAAATGGTTTTTTGTTAGATATTTGAGATTTTTTTGAAAATATGATTAACGCTATTTGGAATTTCAGCAAAACTCTGTACTTAAATCAGTTTCAACACGACTGAAAAGTAAGATATTGAAATCAAAATAATGTGTATTATAGGGTATGAACTATTGTTCATCTTCCTCCCCCCCTTATATGATATTATCAGATTATTAGATAACTTTATTTAAAAAAAAAAAATCTTAAAAATATCGCAAGAAAACCCTTTTTTACACATTAAATCTCAATTATTTTGGAGAACTAAAATGCTAATGAAAAATTTAGTTTTTGACATTTTCACAAGTCAAGAATTTAGAAAAATTATTTTATTTGGTTTAAAATAATTTTTAGCTGTAATATAGTGTTATTATTATCATTAAAATACATAGAGACACACATACAGGAAAGTAAATACAAAATAATAGCAAAACCTAAAAAAACTTTCCTAGAGAAGATAAAAACTGTATGATTAACACATATAAAATATATTCAATGACAAACCAAACTTTTATAAGTAACAAACATAAAAAAATAAGAAAGATATTAAATATTGCAAATTATTATTAACTTCGTTAATTAATAAATGAATAAAGACAGAGATAAACGTAATAAAAACATATAATGTATATAAATATTCATATAAATGTCTAAATAATGTATTTAAGGTCTCTTAAATATAACAAACATAATATAAATATTAAAATAATATATTTACGAAATACACTTAAACACGTGTATCCATTTTTTAATGCTATTTATTTATTTATATTTCATTATTATGGAAAAGTAAATTATTTTGTACAATGTGTGTATACAAATTATTATTTCGTTCTTTATGTCATCATAATTTGATTTTCGTGAGAATCGACATTAATCTAAGTGAATTATTCTAGCAATATCAATAAGAACGAATAATTATCATAATTTTATACATATTTTTTAATTGCTACTCAGTGGTGTATGGTGTTATCACATTTTTAAATTTTACAGATTTATTTCTCCTGATATGGCAAATACTTTCAATGATTTATGGAGCATTATGCCGATTGTTATGAGTAAATTAAATCTTGAAAAATATAATTTGGACATAAAAAAGATTATGGCTATTTGGTCTATGCAGCAGCATTATCCCGTGCTAAATGTTACACGATATTATTCTAGAAATAATACGAAAATATTCTTAGAGTTTCAGGTCGACATGGATCAGAATCCATATTGTATACCTGTCACATTTACTGAAGAAGCAAGTATCAATTTTAATGTAACTGGTTCACATATTTATTTGACGCCCTCAAATCCAAAGTTGGAAATGCAGTTCTTTTATCCAAAAAAATGGATAATTTTCAACTTACAACAAATTGGTAAATATTAAATTACGAAATTCAATATGTTCGTATTTTGTTATTATACAATAAATATAAGAAACACCTTGGTTAGTTTAAAATAATGAAAATAATTTTAACTATTGTTACTTTTCTAACTATAATCAGTTTTTGTTTATATAATTCCTTTATAGTTTAATCTGTTTTTCAGAACTCTATTCTTTTTTTTAATTATCGACATTTTTTTCTATAATTAACAATATATAAGAATTTGCCATTATTTATTGTAAAATATGTGCCCAATTTCCAGTACAATTAATACGTCCTTAAACTATCAGAAAAAAGAGACATATATATTCGAAATATTTTTTACTCCATATATTTGGACCAAAAAAGTAAATATTAAAATTTATGCCATGTGTACAGGATTTTATCGCGTCAATTATGATGACGAAAATTGGAAATTAATTGCGCGTTACTTAAATTCTGAACAGTATACAAATATACATGTTCTGAATCGAGCCCAAATCATCGATGACTCATTCCATCTAATGATACAGGGGAAACTTAATTTTTTCACATTTTGGGAACTCTCGAGTTATTTATGGCAAGAGAAAGATTACGTGGCATGGTATCCTATGTTTAAAGCTTTGGAATACATGTCAAATATTATTCCATTTCTTAATTCTGGACTCTATACTTCAGAAGTATTCGAGGTATTTTAAATTATATCGATAAATTTTTTTACATTTTAGAGGGATCCAAAACGTTAATAAATATTTGATGTTTGCTAGAAATATTTAAAAATAAAAAATTAAGTATTTTATTTCTCTTACATTAATATTTAACATATCATTTATATATATATATATATCGGCTGTAGAGTCTTACGCGATGTTTTTTACGTCTGTTATTTGCGAAAATTAATTTTTTCGATAATTAGAAATAGTATCTTTGGTTTAAATCTTTGATTTGCGTGCTTCCCTTTTTAACTCCCCTGTAAAGCTATAGGCGAAAATAATATCGGTCTAAAAATCGGTTGAATTAATATTTAAAATGCAATAAACTCTGAAATCTGCATTTGAAAATTTATGAATATAACAAATACAATTATTTTCAAGTATCTGTAAATAAATTAATCATATATAATTAAAGTTAATTTTAAAAATTTGTTAAGTAAATAATAAAGCACTTTAACACCTAACATGAGACATGCGATAAACTAAATATACAACAGTAAATTTATGTGAACAAAACCATTTTTAATAAACTAATAATATAAACAGAATAAATATGAATAATTATTTACAAACGATCTTAGTATACTATATAACATAAAACTTAAAATATAAGCAAATTAATTTAAATTTTATGATTTATTTTAAAAATATATTAC